TTTTGAACATGCATTACTATGTGGATTTTACTTAAAAGTATTGATCAAATGCACAAAGATGGTAAAGCACAAGGATGGTAAATTGTCAATTTCCAAGTACTCTAAAGCTTTGGAAACCACCAAACTTTGATGGCCATTTTCTCGCTAATTTCATCTCTGAAACCAGGCGACCCCCTTCTTTTTCGAAAAAAAAAATCTCGCCTTCAGATCAAGATAGATGGGTAGTTTTTTCATTGAAAGCAAGATAAATGAACACGCTTTAAGATGATATCAATAACTCCACATGGCCAAAAATTGACGACCGCCTGATTCCACCGCGTTGTGACACATGATATAAAAGAGCAAGCTCGGATTCAACGAAGTCCTTTGCACGATGAACAGCCCCCTGCACACGTGGCTTTGCCTATTTTTTCCCCCCGCAACGAAACATGGATTCGCTTATTTGTCTCTCACAATGAACTTTATCTTTTCCTGGAAACCATCCACGACATCTGCATCGTAAACCATTATTCGCTTGCCTATTGTGTATTACAGATTATATCTTTTGCAACCAATCAGCGGCCTTCTTTCATACTGTGGAACTCGGATTCAACGAGCTTAGATTCAACAAGAACCCGGATTCAACAAGAGGAGATGGATCCCCTGGGGTTTTTTTCCTTCTTTAAAATCAATAAAAATAATCCCGATTCAACGAACACTCAAATCAGCCAGCTCGGATTCAAAGAGGTCGCTTCTAGGGTGAACAGCCCCCGCAGACGAGGCTTCGCTCATTTTTCTCCCAAAATGAACTTTACCTATTCCAAGAAACCATTCATTGTACCTGCAACGTGAACCATTATTCACTTCGCCAATTGCATGCGACCAATCAGCGTCCTTCTTTGATACCAACACATGCGATGTTGGCACGCGTGTGTCGGGGTCGGATGGGTGGCCTACACACGCGTGATAGTATGTGAGTGTCGAGGGCACCAGAGGTCCGATCGAGGAACGGCGCAGATACAAACGCGTCGGTCTCTTTTCCCCCAGGCAACTGAACATTATAATTATTACAATGATAAGCTAGTGCTGACGTAGATCTACGTAATGAATAGTGCGCTGGCCTATACTATGGAATCTAAAGTTGCCCTATGCTAGGCTAGGTTGTACACAGAAACACAACTTTTTGGCAAACAATCGAGATGACACAGGTGTGCATTTGAACGAATCGGTCCTTTTTTCTTCTTTTTTTTGCACAGCTCACAATATGCAGGCATTTCAGGCACCACTTGTTACTTCTCTTTTAAATACGGTACATTACTTGCTCGGTTCCTGTAACTATCTACACAAAACCTCATGTTTGCTATAACGAATACTCGGATTCAACGAGATTTTAGGTCAGGCCCAGTGACCTCGTTGAATCCGAGTTCCACTGTACCAACATACGCGTACGTGTGTCGGGATCGGACAGCGGCCAGAACATTTATGACATATGACTGTGTATGTCTGCGCGTGTGTGAGTGTGTATGTGTGCGCGCGTGTGTCTGGGGGGATGGAGCACAAGCGGTTCGGGCGTGGAACATCAGTAATCAGTAGAGATACAAACGCATCACAGTGCTCAGTCATTTTTCCCAGTGTCTACTTACTGAAATGATAAGCTAGTCTTGACATAGATCTATGTCTTGTATTAGGCGCCGGTCTGTGGAATTAAACGTTGCCGCATGCAAGGCCATACACATCAGTACAACTTGTTCGGCAAACAATACGTCTTAGATGATAGATGACACATTACACAGGTGTGCATTTGAACTAATAGGACCTTTTGCACAATGTGTGCTTGGTAGAGTTCAGTGTATTTTCCTAGAATTTTCCAGCATTTTTATGGTTTGGCATCAAAGAAACGAAAATATCTCTCATTTGAAACCATTTTAAAATAGGCCTACTTCTGATTGAGGAAGTCAAATACATTATACATTACTTACTCGGTGCTCGTAATCATCTAAACAAAAACGTCATGTTTGCTGATACGAACACTCAGATTCACCTGCATAGAAGGTCAGGCCCTACGACTTCGTTGAATCCGAGTTCAACTGTATCAGAGTAATCAGACTGCAGCAGTTCAAAAATGGAACTGTGTGATTGACTGGTGTATGGCTGAAAGACAGCAGTAAGAAGGGGCCACGAAGTAGCAGTAGATGGGAAGCAGAAAGCGTTAGGAGTCCAGTGAAGGTAGCAAAGGGGAGGGGGTGGGGCAGAAAGTAGAAACGAAAACAGACCACAGAACATGATTAGAGAGCAGGAAAGGAGGTGAAAAGGAGAAAATATTTTTTGAGAAAATAAAGATTTCCGTCGCCGTCAGGTTTCAAACCCGGGACCTATTGAATGACAGGCGAACATCGCACCTCTAGACCACGAGAGCTCCCTGTAATATGAGTGTGGTTCTGAGTTTTGTGCCTGTACACGTGTGTGTGTGTGTGTGTGTGTGTGTGTGTGTGTGT